CCCCCAGGCCGGGCGGGCACCTGTCCCCGCGGCAGCCCTGGGGCCCTAAGGAGCTTTAGCTGGGTCAGATCATCCTGGATTTGCTCCGGGTAAATCTGAGGCAAGGGGAGGGAGGGATTTGTCACTGGGATTAGTACCGCCGTGCCCAGACAGCTGCCTTCTGATCTGGGGGGGCCTTGCCCTGCCCCACGGTGGCCTGGGGCCCAGATGCCCCCCAGACACCTGGGTCCCGTTCTCTGGGCGCCGTGCCAGGCAGCCCCTGCAGTCCCCTCTGCTCCAGCCTCCTGAGGGAGCTGAGACCTCGCAGCTCATCACAGCCGGGCTTGCTATCCTGAGACCCCAGGGTGCTCGCTGGAGGGGGATCATTCGTCCCCCGACCTTGCTTCCACCCCGGCTTCAGGTCCCCAGCTCCCGTAGCCCAGCCCAGCCCTATCCCACAATGCACCTGAGAAGCTCCCTGGGTCTGGGATCCAGCCATGAGCCACCCTCCCCTGGGCTGGGCAGATGGGGAAACTGAGGCACAGGGGGTCAAGGGGAGTCGGAGAACCCAGGCGTCCTGCTCGCTGTCCAGCTGCCCCCACCTGGGGTCTGGGAGAGGAGCCCCTGGCTGCCTGGCAGCTCTCCTGCGAGGGGGCATCTCCCCCATGCCGGCGCCCCCCAGCCCCACAGCTGGAGCCAGAGCAGATGGAGGGGAGGGGAAAAGAAATGACCCACTTTCCTTCTCTGCAGCGCCCCCCCATCCCTGCCAGCCCCTTTAAATTAACCCTGCAGAGGCCAGGAGTGGCAGAGCTGGGGGGTGGCAAGCCTGGCAGCTCCTTTGGGGCTGAGCTATTGCCCCCCCCCCATCACAGGCTGCCCTTGGGGGCAGGAAGGGGATAGAAACCAAGCTGGGTCTCATCCCCCCGCCCTCTGGCCTTACAGTCACCAAGGGAGCCAGGAGCCGGTGCTGGGGGCACAGCAGCCGGCCTGGGCACCCAGCGGTGGAGCCTTGCAAACACGCCTGCCCCCACCCCAGAGCTAGCTGCATTTCAGCGCAGGGTCATGTGAGGCCCACCCCAGAGCCAGCCGCATCCCCAGGCTGGGGTCTTCCTGCACCCAGCTCCTCCTGGACCCACCCCAGAGGCAGCTGCATCTTGACATTGGCTGGAAACTTCCCCCCCCAAAATCATCCCTTTATTTTGCTCTCCCCCTCGTGGCTCCCATCACGCCCATCATTGTTTATAGAGATAACCGGTGATGTCAGCGCCGTTCCTAGGCAACGCGCTGGGTAAATTGGGGATGAGTGGGCGGTTGCTATGGAGCATATTCTCCTGTTGCCATGGTTACCAGGCATCTGCTTCCCCCCCTCTCCCCCTCCCCGAGATGATGGGCCTTGGACTTCCTAATCATGGCGTGTTGGCCGCGGCTGCCGGGGGGGGCCAGAGCCTGCGTCGTCCCCGTGACGTGGAGCTGGAGCAGGCGCCTCCTTGTTTATTGCAATTATTTCTCCCCCCTCCACCCCGAGCACCAGTTCCCAGCTCGCTGCCAGGCCCCGGGTTCACAGTGCCGGCAGCTGCCGCCATCCAGGGTCCCTGAGACCCCCAGCCCCCCATCACCACCACCCCCGGCCCGGCCTCCCTGCGCTGGGGTCTCCGGACACAGGCAGCCCCGAGCGCGGGGAGCGGCTGCGAGTCAGGCCGGGGGCCGGGTGAGTCACGCGCCAACCCACGGGCCCCCCGCGCCCATGCCGGCCTGGCGCGTGGAGGGGATGATGCCCCTGTTGTGCCCCAGCCAGCCCAGAGGTCTTCACCTTGCCCCCTGCTTCTAGGCAGTGCACAGGGCAGCATGGCATCCGTGCTGCAGGTTTGAGCCCTGCTCCATGCCTTAGTTTCCCCTCCTGCCCTGCAGTTGAGTCAGGCTGGAAGCCCTGGGGTGCAGGGACTAGGCTGCTCTCGCCTGGCACCTCAGGGGTCGGGGCCTGGGTCCTCCGGGTCTCCCCCGGGCACTGGGCAGTGCCTGGCTTCATGGAGGCCCGCTCTTGGGTGTAGCCCGAAGGTGACTGGTGCCATGTCTGTGCTCGGAGCAGGGGCTTGGTGCCCACCCCTGCCCTGGGCTCAGCATCCAGGGGTGCCTGGCACCAGGGACCCAGGCACGTGCCCCTCCTGCTTCAGCTGGGGTTTCCAGGCCTTGTAGAACGGGGGGAAAATAGACATAGGCAGCAGAGGAAACCGGTCCCCATGCTGCACCGGTTGCTGTGGCAACCAGCAATACCCTGGCAACCGGGCGGCAAGGGGGGATGTGGCGAAGGATGCAGGGCAGGGGCACCATGGCAACCGGCAGCCATCCCTGCAGAGCCCAGGGGCCTTAGGGGCTGTGTGTGTTTTCTTGCACCTGCAGGAGGGAGAAGGCCACGGCTCCAAGCATGGAGGCCTGTGCCCTTGCCAAGCCCGCAGGCAGGGCAGCAGGGGCCACGGGCAGGTGCATCCGATCTGGGCGGGCAGGCAGGAGAGACTCGTTCATGGAGGCCCGAAGAGGCCGAAGGATGCCGAGGACAGGGGCCCAGAGCCCTTTTCTCAGCCCTCGGTGCTTTGGGGCAACCCCCCTGCCCCGCAGGGCTGTGGCCTATATGACCCGCGGGATGCTGGCACCCGTCCATGGAGGCTGTCGGCGTGGGCAGGGGGCTGGGAACAACGCCTCCTCGGGAGCCGGGGTCTCGCTCTCTCCCACATACAGAGCAGAGCCCGCGGCCTCCGCGGCCGATCAATGGGCTCTGATCAGCCATTTGCCGGGCAATTAAGCAGGGTTTTAATTCCACGGCAGAGCTGGGCCCGTGGCTTCGGCGCCCCAGGGAGGCCGAGGGGGAGCAATGCCAGCTCGGCCCAGCCCTGCGATGCGGGGGCCTGGCCCTGATGCCCTGGGAAGGGCCCAGCGGGTACCGTGGTGCCGGCCTGGCAGAGCACAGGCGCTGCAAGGCCGGAGTCAAATGGGCAGGGCCCCGGTAATATGATTACAGCTGCTTTGCTGGGAACGGGCCCAGCTGCCCGGGCGGCGCTAATCGGACTGCGGCTAATCCAGGGCAAGGCCGGAGCCGCCAGGGATCAGCATTAACCCTCGCGGGGCCGGCCCAGGGCTGTGGTGGGGGGCCCAGGGGGCATTGATCCCCTCTGTGCCAGCCCTGGGGGTGGGCTCTGGCCTCTTACCCCGGTGGGCACTGGCCAGGCAGCGCTAGCCCCCCACAGCCCCACAGCTGGGGGCTCTGGCCAGGGCTGCCAGCTCCAGGGGGACTTTGTGAGTTGTGTGTTGTGGCGGGGGGCACGACCACCCTCACAGCCAGAGACCGGATGCCTGAGTCCAGATCCCCACCCAGGGCCCTGGCTGGGGGAGGAACAGTCTCATAGTGGCAAGTCAAGGCAGCCTGCCCCCCCATGCCTGTTTCCTTCACAAGGGCCTGCAGCTCTGGGGTGACAGGACAAGGACTGGGGCTACAGGAGGTGGCCCCCCATCCCTGAGGGCAGGACCCCTGGGTGGTTCCCCCTCCGCCTCACTGCCTCTGCCTTGTCTCCCCTCAGATGAACCGGCCCATCCAGGTGAAGCCGGCAGACAGCGAGAGCCGAGGAGGTACTGGCCCTGTGCCCCCCCAACCCCACATAGGCCCTGGGCACCCCCTGCTCCCCCCCCAACAGCCCCAGTGCCGGCCTGGGAGGTCCAGCTCCAGCACCCCGAGCTCCTCCCAGCCCCCAGGAGGGCAAACTGGTGCCAGAGCTGCCCAGGCCCCAGGAGGAAAAGATGGAGAGAGAGCAGACATGGACAGACAGAGGGAGGGATAGAGATGAGTGTGCGTGGAGGTGGGTGGGAGGGTGGGTAGATAGAGGGGGTGCATGGGGGATAGATAGATAGATAGATATTGCATGGGGCTGGATGGAGGGATGGATATAGCCATGGGTGGATGGGTATGTATAAATGGATGGAGAGTAGGGCAGGAGTGGGTGCACAGGGCTGGATGGACAGATGTGCACAGGATGGATGGATGACTGGATGGATGGAGGGACGTGCACAGGGACAGGGCTGGGGTTGCGGTGTGTGCAGGGCTTGGCAGGCAGACCAGCAGGTGGCCGTGTGCGGCGCGGTGGGCCCTGGGACCCCACCGGGACAGCTGGACAGGGGTGGCAATGTGGGCACGGCCCAGGTAAGTAGAGAGGGTGTGGGGGGTGGGGACAGACGGGGCAGGGCAGGGCAGGGCAGGTGGCTGGCTCAGCTCTCCTGCCCTGGCAGGGAGGCACTGGCCCCGCGCGCCTGGGGTGGCCCCACCGAAGCCAGGTGCGGCGCTGGGCCGGGCCCTGAGGCGGTGGGGAGGGAGGGCCCCGTGCCCAGTGGGGCCCCAGCCCCTGCCAGCCCCGTGTGCCCCTCCAGAAGACCGGAAGCTGTTTGTGGGCATGCTGGGCAAGCAGCAGACGGACGAGGATGTGCGGAAGATGTTCGAGCCCTTTGGCAGCATAGACGAGTGCACGGTGCTGCGTGGGCCTGATGGCACCAGCAAGGGTGAGTGCCTGCCTTGCCCAGCACCTCTGTGCCCCAGTGCCTGTGCCTGGCTTCGTTCCCAGCAGCTCCCAGTGCCTCACAGGCTACGCTGGGGCCTGGTCCGGGCACGTCCAGCCAGGGTCGGGGGGCTGGGGGCCCACAGGGCCATGCCAGAGCTGGTGGGGGCTGTGGGGGAGGTGGTGGGGGAGGAGGCATTGGGGGGGGTCTCTGGGGCCCTCTAGCGTGCTCTGTGTGTGTATGCATGTGTGTACACCTGTGAGTGCATGGGTGCACAAGCAGGTATGCACGAGTGCATTGTGTGTGCAGTTTGTGCACATGTGTGTGCACGTGTGAGAGCTCCCTGTCCCTTGTTTACATGTGAGGTTGTTTCTGTGTGCACGCTCAGGGATCTGAGTCCAGCCGGGGCTTGAGTGAGTGTGTGTGGGTGGGTGGGTGGCCTACACCCCATGGCACCCCCCACACACACATGGGTGCACAATCCATGCCTTCCCTGGGAGAGGGGAGGGTGTGTGCACATAGGCATGGGCAGGTGTACCCCAGGTGGGAGTGAGTGTGCAGGGAGTGCGGGGGATACACATGTGTACAAGTAGACCCTGGTGAGTGTATCCCCAGCAGGTGTGCATGTCTGTGTGCACAAGCCCCAAGTGTTACCATGGTGGAGGGGAGGGATCCATGTGCATGTGCATTTGTATGCAAGCCCCATGCACTCCCTGGAGGAGTAGGGGCCCCAGGTGTGTGCGGGCGTGTTGCACGCTCAGGCTCTTCCCCTGACCCCCCAGGCTGCGCCTTCGTCAAGTTCCAGACGCACGCGGAGGCCCAGGCCGCCATCAACGCGCTGCATGGGAGCCGGACGCTGCCGGTGAGGCCCGGGGCCGGGCGGGGGGTGGCCGTGGTCCCCAGATCTCCTCTGTGCCCAGAGATCCCATGGGCACTGCCCGTGGGGGCAGGCATGGAACCAGGGCAGGGGGCCCGGGTGGTCCGTGGCAGCATCTTGGACACACACACGCATGCACACAACACACTTGCACATGCATGTGCAGACACATGCACACAGATGCACACGCGCATGCACAGACATGCACATATGTGTACGCACACATGCACACAGACACGTGCACATACGTGTATACACCCCCCCCCCCCATCCCCGCGCCAGGCTGCCCAGGCACCTTCCCAGGGCTCTGCTGCCCCCTGGTGGGCACCGTTGACCACTGCAGCTCCCCAGCAGCCAGAGGCTGCTCTCCCCTCCCTGGATGCCCCCAGACTTCTCACTGTCACCCCAAAGCATGCTGGGAAAGTGGGATGGGGCCCGTAGCCCCATGCTGAAGAGGGGGGAAACTGAGGCACGAAGCAGACATGACTCACTCGTGGGCTGGGGCAGGAACCCAGGTGTCCCCAAGGCCTCTCCAGCCCCTCTGGCTCCTAGGCCGCTCCCCCTGGACTCTGGGAGGGTGCTGTATCTCCCCCGGGGTGCAGCTGTCACCCCAGTGTGGGGGCTATGAATAACCCATGGGGTGTCCTGTTCCCAGGGCGCCTCCTCCAGCCTGGTGGTGAAGTTTGCCGACACGGAGAAGGAGCGGGGGCTGCGCCGCATGCAGCAGGTGGCTAACCAGCTGGGCATGTTCAGTCCCATCGCCCTCCAGTTCGGGGCCTACAGCGCCTACACCCAAGCAGTAAGGAGCGCCCGCAGGGGTGGGGGCTGCGGGTCAGGAGTGAGGGGCATCACTGGAGGTGGGATGGGGACAGGGAACTGCAGACTGGAGTGAGGGGCACCGGCAAGGCGGGCTGGGGGGATGCAGGGGTGTGGGTCTGGAGTGAGGGGTACTGGCAAGGTAGGCTGGGGGGGATGCAGGGGTGTGGGTCTGGAGTGAGGGGTACTGGCAAGGTAGGCTGGGGGGATGCAGGGGTGTGGGTTGGGAGTGACGGG